TTTGATCGGAGCCAGTTGGTCTGCGTTGGTGCGTGCTGTGGACGTGTGCCTGGCGAAGGTCCGGCCTGTCCCGCGCGTCGCCCATTCGATGCTGAGGTAAAATAGACGGGTAGTCCTGAGTTCAATGCCGGTTGAGTAGACGTTTTTGTCAAAGTCAATTTCGACTGCGAGGTGCGTCGACCACAGCCTGGCAAGTCAAGCGAACCCTGAGAGTCCCAAGCCTATGGTTGGAAAGCTCCTGATTGATGAGTTGATGAGGACCGGACACCTTGGCATTCCATCGTTGCGATCAATGGCCGAATCACTGTGCGGCTCATTTAAGTGTGGAATAACCAATGTCTTATTTTCACATGATCGCCCACTCATGACATTTACCATACACTTCTTCGTGACGAAAGTGATGCCGGAGCTAGCTATCTAGCATAGTAGCATGATGAGATGATAATTCACACGACACGTGAGGACTGCACAAGATTGAAGAACGTCTTCCTTGGAAGCATTCAACAGACAGAGGGTTTGAATAGCGTATTTATAAGCAGCGAAGACTTTCGGATTAGGCAGAGAATTGCGTATGGTTTGTTGAATTCAGGCCTTGGTCTCTAATTGTGTGCTGAATGCCGGCAGTGAGTAGATGTGAGTAATCAACTTGGGCGAAAGTACATGTTTAGCAGCCTCGTTGACTTATTTCTGCAATTACAGTGAGGTCGAGAGTAAATTGAGAGATAGTATTTCGCATTGAAGTAAGCGGAAGGCATAGATGTCGTTAAAAATGACTTGATTCCTTTAGATCAGGGACCCTCAAAGGATCACAAATATGTAGTACTTATGTACTTGTGCATGACCAGACGTCGTCTCTTGGCAACTAGAATAGTACGAGCGCCAATGGGCAGCGTCAATTACGACGCCGCTAAAGAGAGACCTAGGAGCGTATGTTCCTCCAGCAACCGATGGAATGCTTTGAGCCGTTGACTATGGCTATATGTTTGTGCGGAAGGTGCTTAATCTGGCATATCAAACCTTAGTTGACAATCTTGCGTTACACTATGATACGTATGAGCTTAGGCGACTGATCTACTACGTCGAGCCGATGTGATTCATCCTACTCATGTGTTTCACGTGGATAATTCCCTATAACGTGGATTTCGTTCCGATCAACTCGCTATCAAGGTGCTACTCATCACCTATCTCATACCGCTTCAACCTATTGAAGACCTAAAGTTGCACTTCGAGCTACTTGTAATGCCTCTGTGTGTGTGTGGCACTTCAAAACTCGCTCGGGCATTAGGCTCCTGGCGACCGCTTGCAAGGCTTCATAACCGATGAATCATCATCAGATCGTAACAACAAGTACCTGGGCCGTATGGTCGAGGGGTTAATCGGGCTGCAGAGGCCCTGATTAGGCAGTGAAGTCTCCTCTTCATTACGGGATCCAAGTTCGATTCCTCGATCGGTCGTCTCATCGTTGTTTTTGCATTTTCTGCGTTATGCTTTGGTCGTTTTTCCTCACGCAATCACCTACAGTCGTCCTTGTGTACAAAGGAATGCCAAGTATACCTATTCTCAACGCCAAACCATCTCAAATTCTTTTCGTTGGTACACACGTCGGAAGGGTAGCGTTCGGTCAGGAGGAAGACCAAATTTTCTCGATGATCAGGATACGGGCAAGGAAGTCAAAAACTCAAGGACTAGAGCTGGACAAGAGCAGAATCCATCGGCCAACGATCTCGCTGTATCATACCCTAAACCCCAAGCTGTCTCTCAGAACTACGATTATAGGCTCGGAAGTCAAGACAACAAGCTGAAGGGGAGGGAGAAGCTAAGGCTACTTGGTCACATTGCCATAGCAAAGCGCAATAATCCTTTCATCATCATGACTCATGTAGCATTTCAAAAGCTGACTTCCCTCTACGGATACATATCCAGCCGCGGAGTAATCAAGCCATACCCTATCTATCTCGACAAGCGGGACTCCGAACCCATCGCATCGAAGAAATCTAGGTCCTCCACCGGAAAGCAGGGTGCTTCCAATCCAGATCCCGAACCTCCTGCTCCGTGTACCCAGCAAGCTCCTCCTCGATGCTACGATCGTCGCGGCGCTTGTTATCCCACTTCATCCAGAACCACGCCGAGGTAGCCACGATCAAAATCATGCTCGCCGCGCCGAGGTTGAGACCATTGCCAATGTGGAAGTCGGGCGCGTCCCAGGAGAGGTAGGACCATGTTGAGACGAGACCGCCGACGTTGCCGAACATGACCTGCATTTCTCAGTGTCAGCTTCCGGTATCTTCATGATGACTGGTGAAGAGGGATGGAGAAGGAAAAAGCTGTAAACTTACGTTGAGACCGATGGCGCTGCTTCGCGCTGTATCACTGACCACGTTGGCGCTGATGTGGGCGTTGGACATGGGACCCATAACCATGGCCGAGCTGGCAATGAGGAACGTCGCCCCGTAGCGTACACGAGCCACTTTGGACGCGAGGAACATGATGTATCCCGCCATGACCATCGGCGCGCTCATGGCGATGAGAACTTGTCTTCTATCAAGGTACCAACTCAAACCCGGGAACGCAACCGTGAAGAACGCGCCAACAACGTAGGGCGGCACGCTATACAGCTGCTTCTGGACCGTCGAAAAGGTCGGGTAGATGTTGCTCACAATGGTAGGGAGGAAGAACGCCAGGCCCTGCACGGTGATGTTGTTGAAGAAGAAGATGATGGCGATCTCGAGGGTGACGGGGTTGAGCATGCCGCGCTTGAGTTTCGTCTTGTCAATCTTGTCAATTACTTCTGTGGCACCGACGCGTTCCGATTTCACGCGGGCGACGCAGAGGTCCTTCTCCTCCTGCGTCAACCACCTTGCCGTCTCGGGCCTATCGGTGAGGGTCCAGAAGGAAATGATGGCCAGTACGACGGTGACAATGCCCTCGATGGCGAAGATCATGCGCCAGCGGTGCAGACTGCCAAAGGAGTCGAGCGTAAGGATCGCGGAGGCGAGAAGGCCGCCGAAGGCTCCCGCGAGGGGTGCCATGACCATGTAGAGGGATAGGCGGAACGTCAGCTCGGCGCGCTGATACCATCTGGAGAGGTAGTAGGCGATGCCGGGGAGCATGCCGGCTTCGAAGATGCCGAGGAGGAAGCGGACGCCGCAGATGGCGGCGCGGTCCTGGACAAAGGCAGTGCAGATGGAGACGATGCCGAACAGAAGGGTGGTGATGGGGAGGAACCAGCCGGGGCCCATTGCTTTGCAGGCGATTGTGGCGGGGATCTCGAAGAGAATGTAGGAGATGTAGAAGACGGAGAGGATCATGTTGTAATCGTAGCCTTTGAGTTCGAGGTCCTTGTCGAGGCCGGCTATTCTTGCGTTACCTGCGGACGGGGTGTCAATAAATCCGAAGGCTCTGGGAAACTGTAAGATGGGGTTTGATGATATCACTTACCAATGTTGGCACGGTCGATGAAGCAGAAGAGATACAACAATGCGACAGTGGGAATGGTGTGCAAATCGAGCTTCCATCGCAGCTTTCGTACTGCTACGGGGTCGAACTCGACGAGAGAATGTCCATATCTGTCGAGTCGTGATCAGTCCTGTGGACGGCGGCACTGAGAGTGAATGTGAAGCTACTCACTTGTCGGTGGCAAGCTGGCCCCTTCCAGCTGCGTTATGGATACTATCATGTACAGGAGCAGGACCGATGGCATGGTCCTCGGTGCCCTCGACGTGAGCGCCCTTGGGGACCTCCTTCTCCGTGGAAGACATGGCGAAGGTTGGGATGTTGGATAGTTCGGATAATGGCTTCTGCAACTCTAGAGTTGACGAAGTAACGAAGCCTCAAAGCGTTTATTCCAAGCTTTCCGGTTAAAACTCAGAGTACGTTCTGAGACACTGGCTTACAGTCGTCAAAGTCAGACTGGATACTCGAAAGATGAATTCTCAATACAGACTGAGGAGAGGATCGTGGTCGTCTATTTAAATCCAGCGGTACCTCATACATCGTTGACAACAAATACACCCTGGTTAAAATGCCGTACCCATGTCCCTAGCTCAACCCCCAAGCATCCCAAGCATTTACCGGGCACCACTCTATTGGGGACCAGAGCTGCATCTTTGGCGTTGCCGCACCCTCCATGTTTAGGGCTCCATCAAAGTGGGAATGCCTGCGGGGTAGGGATACGCCATCATCGAGGTTGTATCGGCCGCGTCGTTTCCTGAGAAGATTGTCACTTTCTCCTCCAATTGTGGACTGGGTTGTATCAAAGATGCCAAGACACGACCATTGCAGCGTCGACGCGGGAGATCAGCGCTGCTATGATAGCATCAACGTGATAGCCTCTGAAGCTCAACGAGAACACCACGGGCAGGAAACAAACGAATATCCTGAAAACTCATTCATTCTCGAGTAATGTTTGCCTGCTGAGTCTCAATTTCCAAATGACTCCGCCTGGAGACGATTCCCCCAGGTTCTCCGCCCTGCCCGCCCCCGCAATCCTGGGGAAAACATCCACTTTGGCTTGTCGGAGGCTCCACGTGCCCAGGTTAAGACCCCAGCTTGAGTGGTTCGGAAGAGCCAATGAGGCCTATTGAGTTGCAATCTCGAGGGGTGTCAACAGTGCCAAGAAAGCTAGGGCAATTTGTCTTCGGCAACTGGGATCGGCAAGTGAGATTGATATGCTAGCGGGAACTGCCAGCGTACGCGTATGTAGAGTTGTAGATTCATCACAATGCTGCAACGTATGCGGAGCCTCTAGCACACCTCAAGAAAGACCTTGCTCTCCGAGAAACCGAGCCTTCCGCACCAGAGTCGCTCTGTGGAAAGAGATTCGGAACGGGAGCCGTTTGCGCCCTCGAGCGAGTCAAGGGTTGAAGTTAGTGTTATGCCAATCGCCCTCATTGGTGTTGGTTACGCGGAAACTTCGAAGCGAAAGGGCTGGCAATCCGTCAGGTCGGGATAGGCTACTATCCCACCGGTCAAACTTAGTTTTAGATATTTGCGTCTAAGACTCAAAGAGGCTCCTTTTCAGCCCTTCCATGATCACAAGGTGTGGTCTCAACGTTCGGCAGATCAAACGTTCGAATTTGAAGAGGACAAGAGGTCAACACGAGAATCAGCATCTGAACGGAGATGGTGCTCCTAGGCTGAACGTTCGTCCAGTGTTGGTGATCATCAAAAGTCAATGTGACAATGTCCTTCCAATCCTGTTCGTCCCATGTTCGGCTGTATGGCAAAGGCGCAGGCCGGAAAACCATTTTACCGGCACAGCCATGGAAACTCTGACGTTCTTTTGGTTCAGCTTCACAGGAGGTTGCAGTGAATGCATGAGAATCTGTAAGGGCGACGCCATAGGATTGATGTATTGGGTGCCTGCAACTCAATCAAGAGGCACTAGAGCAGTAGATGATAACCGCGGGTACTCATGTTGCCGTCGGTTGAATCGTGCTGGTAGATCGTCTCTGCAATCCACCCGCGGTAAAACATGTCGATATCCCGAGGTTACTCTGCAGTTGGACACTGCAGACGCTGCAGATTGGTGGACGAGGCGTGAAACAATAACCTCGGTGGAACTTGCAGGTCAGCCACCCACACCGTACGGATACCCAAAAGCCCTCTGAGACATGACACTGGCCATGTGGCATTGGGGGACCTGAAAGAGCTTGGCGCCGTGGGCGGCTTCTGCAGCTTTGGTGGTAAAAGGCTGCATCTTCGGCCGAGAGAGGGAGGTCGTACTACTGAGTACTGCCGTGCTCCGTGAGGATGCTCCGTACGCGCAGATGTGGTGCGTTGCATTGAGACACCAGAAATATCGAATCTCAACTGCAGCACGGATACCCGTACGGATACTTCGTGGAGTAGGACAAGGTGTCGCATGCAGCTGCCCGAAAGGGGCTGGCTCGGTGACAAATGCTGCTCCGCTGTGATGCGACCTCAACAGCAGCGCCCCTTGGCGATGACCAAGGTCGACTCGATCCTTTGCCGCTTCTTGGTAAGCCTAAATACCACTGAGGAGACGATCCGGAACTTTATTGTCCCTTCGCAATGTGTTTTTGGGAGAAAAGAGGACACCAAACATGGTTTTATGTGACCGTGTGCCTCGAAAGTTGTCGCTGATATGCTCCCAGAAAGCGGTCGGGGAACCATCGATCAGGAATCATCTGCTATAGGGTACAACACAGAAGTCAGATTTTGTTGCTCATCGTGAGTTATTCCGGCACGGCCATTTGGGTGACAGTTTGGGAGGATTATTGCCTCGAGCGTCGTTGCAAGATGCAGTAGTCAGCGGCGTCCAGAATGTGAGACATTCATTGAACCTGGACTGGCGGCGACGCGTCAAGGAAGCCAAAATCCTCAAGAAATCGACAAGCTCATTGTAGATCGAAAATGGCACAAAGCAAGAATCGTCAGCCGTTCGTTCGCAGCGATAACGCCCGCTGCCTCACCCGCCGCCCTTCCCAAAGTTCAACGGCCCAAACTCAAGATGGCGGTCAGTGGTGCCGTGATGGTGGAACCTGGCGTTGGTAGGTGGCTTCGACGGCGCTGAAGGAAGACGACCCGATTTCGCTGGGTCGTTACCGTCGTGTGTGGACATGGCCGCCGTCTCAGACCCTGAGCTGGGACGCCCCAAGACTTGAAAGACTCCTGATAAACGCGAAGATCGTGGAAGATCAGGGGCTGAATTCTTGTCGCTGCCAGCTGGGAATGGCTTCAAGGGGACAACGTTGTGGTATCCAGCTGCCAAACGGGAAAAAGAGCTGAAAGGCTGTGGATAGCTAGGGGGAGCTTGGGTGCCATTGTGCCACTACCAGCTCTTGGGAATGTCTCGGAAGACCCTGTCGTTCTTGTTTGACGGTGTACTGTGTATGCTGACAGCTAGAAACTAGGGGTGAGAGGACGGATGAACGGCGACAGCGGAGGGCGGAGAAAGCTGGTGGGGAGGTCCCGTCCGCCAAAGACATGAGAGAGAGGTGAGAGGTACGCAGGAGGTACGGCAGCGAATCAGAGATGAGTAATCGTGGAGAATGCTTACCTAAGTCGGCAGCGGAAGTCATTCGCTCCGGACCACATTCGGCGTCTCTCATTGGTCAGTACGCATGAATAAGGCAGCTCTAGTGATCCTTCGCCTCGCTTAGCTCGAGGTTAGCGGACTTCTCCCTCTGTGAGATTCCCTGAGAACGCTGGCTGTGCCAACTTTAGGCTTCCAAGTTCACTGAGCCCGCCTGCATTCCCTGTCTCAGCAATGGGACGGCGTGGACGGCACCTAAAATGCCCCCCCAAAAACACAATGACCTGTGGCGCCGGAGACGGATCATCAGCACCCGTGGATCCCATCTCCCTTGGAGGTCTCCCATCTGCCCCTCTCCGGCTCTCCCCCCAACGCCCAGATGACGTGAGACGCCCACCAGACCATCCCACGCATCCAAGCACATCCCAGCCAACATGCATGTGGTTTTGCGTTTCCCACCAAGCACCGCGCACCAAGCACCCCTAAGCCATGCTTTTTCGAATATCCATTCTCAACTCGGAGCTAGCGAGTGGAAGGGTCCCGGCCCGGGGGGCTGAGGTCTTGCGCTGCCATGGCTTGGCTTTACCTCAACCAGGTTGGCTTTCTTCTTGACCACCATCCTTCGCGCGGCGCACCTCCGTCAGCACCAAGAAGCTTTTTGTTGCTTGGGTCGTCAGCTTTTACGTCTGCTTTCTTTTGGCACATGTTCCCCCCGGCCGTCTGACAGAAGCAAGCCAGCTTTTCGACCAAACATCTACCATTGATCCTCACGATCCATAGTATCATCATCGCATCGCGCCTCCGAACCGACGACAACTTCGAGATATCCAAGAGAGCGACGACAAACTCACCGCACAGATGCTTCGCAAGAAAGAGGTCTACACGACCGTCACTCCAATCCCGGGCTTCATCCCCCGCCAGCTCGCCATCGACATCCTCCACTCCCATTCCGAGGTCATCACCCTCAACCCCCTCGTTCTCGATCACAAGCCCATCAAGGCGCCCCGCGATGCCGCCTCCGACGAGTACTACTCGACATGGTATGAAATCACCGAGCGCATCCAGTACATCCCGGGTATCGGCAAGATGGGGTCTGGCAAGATCAGCTTCAACGGCTGCTTCCACGATATGCCTTGGGGCCTTCAGACGCACACCTACGCCCCGATGAACATCGACATCCGGATCAAGTACAAAATCGACGGCAACCAGCCCGGCTTCGAACCGCCCCAGCCGCCCGAGATCGGCATGTCCGGCCTCGGTGTACCCGCGGACGGGCTGTATCTGCGCGAGGATATCGAGATCCGCTGCAACATCACCATGGTCAACTTCGTCAAGGCGCAGCTCAAGGCCGCAAGCAAGGAAATGGTTTCAAGGATTATCAAGAAGGCGGAGCTGCTCGACGCGGGCGTGTTGCAGGCCATGATTACGGACGGGAAGCTCAAGACTATCAACCCGGCCGACCGCACCAGCACAGGCATGTCCGGCGCGCACTCCCCATTATTCAACCAGCGCCCCGAGGGCAGCCCAAGACCGGAATCGCATTCGCCCACAACACCCTACCAAGTCCCACGACCGGTTTCAATGCAACAGTTCCGCCCCGGCTCGCAGGGCAGCTACGGCGCACACCAAACCCAACCCTCAGAGCTCTACTCCCAGCACAGCGCACCTCAAACCTCCTTCATCGCCGAACTCCCAGGAAACTTCTACCACCCACAGCAATCATCCAACAACCTGCAACCCCCGCAGCCGTCCCCGGGCCTACAGAACGGTGACCGCGACTCCATGTCGCAACAATCGCAATTCTCACCGGACCCAAACTCATGGCGCTGGTCCCAGGGCCAACCAAGCCCGTCGCAACAGAGCTCGCGGCCGACGAGCATGGCGTCGTCCGAGGCGAGTAGTGGGTACGCTAGCCCTGCGCTCGATCACAAGGGGTTCTCGTCCGAGTTGCCCACGCACCCGGAGACGCAGGAGGAGCACCGCGGGGATGCGCATGGCAAGGCGGTGGAGGCGGGGCAGCAGCAGCAACAGCAGCATAGGGTCAAGGGACCGCAGGCGTATCCGGCGTATGGGCAGGCTTATGCTTATAATCCTGCAGATTATGCGCCGTTGAGTAGATGATGAGGGATCGCCTCGCAGAATGTGATTGCTGGCGTGTGTGTGTTATAATACCAGGAGTTTTAAGGGGATTGAAATGAGTGCGGATTCGGGCTTGGTTTGGCAAACGCCTTCTTTCAATGATACCGCTTTGTTTGGGGGGAATAAGATATTGTGTGTTGTCCCTATGGGTGATATCAACTGGCCAACGATGGGCAAATAGGAAAAAGGAGTCATCTCTTTCAATCTATCTCATAATGATATTCCAAAATTTATAAGATTATCCCATCCGTGGACACTTGTCTCTTTCAATTTTATTCGTCTTGTACTACGGCTGGATGAGTCGTCTGGTCGTAAGGCCACTTCTGCCGACGTCGAATAATGCGAAAGCTCTATAACGAATCTAAAGATGAGCATCTATCGCCAAGTGCCTGGAGGCGGTGTCGTTAACAGCTATCTTGATGACGTTGATGCCATGGTCATCCCTGGCAGAGAACTTCTCACCGCGTTGACGAACGTCTGATGAGTTACGACGGGTTACGTGGGCCATGTCACTCTCCCATTTGATTCGCCCAGTATTGAGATGATGGAATGCAATTAATTGGGAATTTCTTCTCAAAGAATGTGTTTAGTGGACGGGTATATCAAGAGTGTGTCAGATATAAGATACCTACTAAGTAAACCAAACACTCGGGAAACCAGATTTCAAGATAGATGTGAAACGATCAAGTAACCGATTTTCAATCGCTAAAACGATGACAATCACAAGAAGAGTACATCCCAGTCCGCTCTACAACCAAGTAGGTAGATAACGCTTCCGTTTTCTTCAAGCGATCGCGATTGCTCCGGAAGAACAGTTGCGCGGTTAATTGATTCAGACGAGGCCATGTCTTGGATGTACGTCGACATAGCCGGCGCAACAAACCAACGATCCTCGTCTACTATCATGTAATGGTTTGATGCTCATTGATGTGCTGGGAAAATCATTCTAGGTTTCTGAAGAGGATCTTGTCTTCCCTCCTACGCCTAGCCAAGCACTAGATATCGTGTCGCAAAAATCGCGTTGAATCGACGCGTACTTTGAAGCCAAGTCATCTTATTGATACCTGTTGAGAACCGTCATAGCTACGAGCGCAAAATGGGAACCGCGTATAATACATAATAAATCCTCGCAATTGCCCAGCAAACCTCTCTCTTATTCCAGACATCTTTTTTCGACAAAAAGTCTCGCCTCTGTCGCTCTCACCGCGATCATGCTATTGAGCTTATCATGTCTAAGATCGGCCATCAAAGTCACTACACCGGTTCGCCCAAGTCGCCACAACTTCATGCGTTAACCTTGCGAGGACGGCCGCGAGCACGCTTCTTGGGGGGCTCTTCGTCTGCTTCAGACTGCTCCTTGGCCGCAGGCTCGGGCTTATCCTCTGCAGCGGATGCTTCTTCAGACTTCTCAGGCTGCGACTCTTCAGCCGCGGTGTCGTCACGCTTCTGCTTGCGTCCGGGTCTGCCTCTGGGCTTAGGCTCCCTTGAAGCTTCTTTCAAGACCTCAACCTCGACATCTGGCTCGGCAGCATTGTTCTTGCGAGGCCGACCGCGTCCCTTCTTGACAGGCATGGCAACAGCTTTGATGCACTTCTCGCGCCCACCCTTGGACTTCCAATAGTTCTCGACGTGCTGTCGGGCATACACCTCGACTTGCGACTCAGGCTCCCATGATCGCTCAGGGGAGCCAATCCAGCAAACGTAGAGCTGGACTGCGCCAGAAGGCTTCTGCTTATGCTTTTCTACTCGGAGAGCGTGCCAGAGATTCTTGTCGGCCATGGCACCTAGCCTGCCACCCTTGAGGCTGTTCCAGTACGCAAACAGTGCTTCCTCGGCATCCTCGTGAATAGTCTGTTCAGTCTCCCACGTGGGATCGTCGTGCTTCCAGTTGATGTGCATTTGAAAAAGGGTTTTGTCGTTAGGATCGCGGCGATGGCCAAGGATCTTGTCAAATACGAACATGCCGTTCTTTGGGTCGTCCATCTCTACGTCCTCGTCGCCCGCCGCATTCGTAGCCGAGTTCTCCGTAGGAGCAGCCTCAACAGTGTCGGCGTTATCAATGGACGTGGCAACGTTGATCTCGGCATCCTCTGCTGCAGGAGAAGCCACTACAGCCAGTTAGCCTTGATCCCTGTCAAAAAGGACATGTAGCATACCTTGTACTGCCTCCTTGACTGGGCTCTTTGCGCGAATCTCCTCAGCCTCTACTTCGGCTTCAAACTGGTTTCCGAGCTGGATAGTGGTGTTGCCTTCAGTGCCATTCGCAGCCTCAATCTCTTGATCGGCCTCCTTATCAGCAGGAGCAGGGCTTTCCTCTACATTCGGCTCTCTACTGCGCTTGCGGCTCACGATGGTCTGTTCAAAAGTTGTTGTGACAGTTGTAGTACCAGTGCGCTGTCCAGTTATATTGTTGACCACGTTGGAAAATGTCTTGCGGACAGAGGACACAACGCCAGTCCGGGGTGCACTGGGTTCCGGTGTAGACCCGGAGGCTTCAGCGTCAGGGGTAGCCTCCATGGCAGTTACTGGGGCAGTGGACGAGGTCGGCTCTGAGGTATCGTTCTCGGCAGGAGCAGCGGCAGTAACGGTATCGGCAGGCGTGCTACGGTCGGCAGTATCCACGTCGTCGGCGGTATCGCTCAAAGCCTTGCGCGGCGAAGGGCTTACGGGGAGGCGCGGAGAGGGGTTTTGCGAAGGCGGCGAACGGGATCGCGATGCATCCGAACGGGGAGTTCCAGTGGGCGCGAGGCTCTTGATGCGCTTGTTCGGGTGCGGCGACTGAGAGCCGGAGGGCTTGCCCGGTGATGAGAGGAAGGTGTTGAATGCGCCGTTCTTCGTGCTCTGAGGTTTCTTGACCGACTGAGTGCCGTTAGGCGGCGCAGGAGATTCAGCCAGTCGAGCCATGATGGAGGAATCTAATCTAGATGATATCTGGTGATGGGCGAGGCGTTTGGGCGCTCGGATGGCGTGGATCGTTTGGCTTGCGCCAGTCGAAATCGTTCAATATCGATGACGATTCCTGGATTGGAAAACCAATTGATTCGCAAAAAAAGAGCGCACGATGAACGGGGACAGGTTGCAGCCAATTGCGCGGTGGTAAAGGCAGAGTGATTGACTCGGCGACGTTTTCTGAGGTGAAATGAGAAGAAGACGAGGCGTGCGGTGCTGGGCAGCTTCGGTCGCGGGAGGAGCTTTGGCCTTTGGTTTCTGCTCTGTTGAGTGCAGGTGCGGTGCGGGTGCTCTCCACTGTCGTTCCTGCTCCCATCCGGGCGGTGCTGCTGACGTAAGAGGATCAAGCTATTAAGTTTGGCGCGGAAACTACGACCGGGAACCTCAAGGAAGGTGCCTTACGCGACGCGATGACAGTGGGATCAGGGTGGGGCTTCGGCCGTTGGCTTCCATAGGTTCCCCTGTCACTACGTACTTACGCGCTCCAGAAGAAGGTTAGCGCACGTGATTTATCCACCCATCCTTCCTGTCGGGTCTAAAATTCGGGAAGGCATGCCCAGAAGGGAAAGCATCTGGGGAAGGAAGCTGTGGGATAATGGTCAGGTCAGATGGAAGGCAACCTGCCCTAGGACTTCTCGTGCCTCAATAATGCTGTTCTTCTTCTAACTTCTTTGTTGAATCTTTGCGAGTACACCCATCTTCTGTGAAATCTTGGCTTCATGCTTCAACCCCGAACACGTCCAATTCCTCATGCACAGCCATCTTTCGAGGCGACAAACGAGGCTTTCACGGCCGCTAGGGCAGCAGCGCCATACTACCTGCAGTACTAGGCAGCATCCTCTTTGGCTTCAACAATAATGGCTTGGTTTCGCTTTTCTTCAACACCATGTTTGCATTCCCGCCGTATTGGCTCTTCCAGTCTCTGCATCAAACTGAGCTGCCGATTAATACCCAAAGAGCAAAGGCGGGGACAATCGGCCAAGTCCCCACGATCGGCGCACCACCATACTTCGAACCGCCTCATTTAATGGTGCAGCTTCGACATTGAGCTCAGCCTACCTATCCTCCCGCAGCGGCAAAGGAAGAAGCTCAGGCTGCCGTGTGATCCTTGGCCAACGCCCGTTTCTCCTTTCGCTGGCTTATGGCGACCGACGACAAGGGGGTAGAAGGCTCAGACCCGCCAATCTGCAATCACTTGCCATAAGCCACATGACTGCCACACAATCCTCAGTTCGCCGGCATAGAATTGGCTCAGTTGCCCCTGCGGAACAGCAAAGTGGGTAACTCTTGCCGCTGAGTCGTTGCAATCCTACAGGCTACTTCGTCAAGCCGAACGTCGCCTTTTCTGCGGCTGCCTCCTCACCGTTCGGGTGCGTGCGCATAAATTGGATGGGTGGGCGCAGCGAGGCAGCCAGAGTGAGCTGTATTCAGGTTGAATCGATATAAACAAGCCCCTTGCCTTCTCATCTCCGGGTTCTTCATACAAATTTATCGACGATTTTCCCGAGTTCAGGGAGTCATCATGGAAGCAGTCGGCGGGGCCGCTGCCATCTTGCAGCTGATCGATGTGGCACTCAAGACCACCATCCAAGTATACAAGATCTACGCAGATTTCAGAGATGCCAAAGACACCCATAAAAGATTGGCGAGGGAGATGCGCGACCTCGTTCGCGTCCTTCAGCAGCTACTGGATGTAGTCCTAGACAGCGATCCCGACAGACCGAAGTCTGGACATGCAGAAGCTCTGCGGGAGATGTTGGAAGGAGAAGACAGCATTGTGGCGTGTTGCCAAAAGGATGTTATCGAAGTCTCCAATCTCCTAGGAGAGATCCCGTCAGCGTCATGGCCAATACGGAAGAGGAAGATCGACCGAACTCTCTCCAATATAGCATCAACTCGGGCACAACTTGGCCTTGCTGTTCAGACACAGTCAATGTAAGATCCCAGTATGCAACAGACACTGGTAGGAAAACTGATCGAATCAGGGCTGTTGTGTTGGATATCCGTCGCACGCTGGATAGACATGAATCCTACATGAGACAACACGTTGAGTCCGAGTCGAACAAGGCGATTTTTGGTTGGTTGAATCCACCCGACGTCTGGGAAAGCCTGAAAAATGCTCTACAAAAGCGACATCCAGGCACAGGAGAATGGATATTGAAGACGCCCGAATTCGAACACTGGAAGGAAAACCCGGGTACTTTATGGTTGTCCGGCATGCCGGGAGCCGGAAAGACCATCATAAGCTCGACCATAGTGACATCTTTGCTAAGCGAAGCCCAAACATCTACGTCAGCTGTTGTTTACTCGTACTTCGATTTCTCCAACGAGTCGCAGCAAGAAGCCCAGTCATTTCTACGTACATGCATCGCCCAACTTGCTGCAAAGAAGCCTGCGGCCTTTGATATTCTTCTCGGTTTCCGCAATCGATTTCCGGAAGCCCAAGATCAACAGCCAGGGCTTGAAGAGTTCTTAGAAGCGACAGTAGCCGCTATGGGGTGTTTTCATCGAGTATTCCTTGTAGTCGATGCGATAGACGAGTGCTCGGAACGTAAAAAGTTGCTGGACATCTTCAAAGAGCTGCACTTGGTGCGCAATCTTCACCTAGTCCTCCTGAGCCGCCGAGAACAGCAGATTGAAAAGGTCCTGTCAGCTTCCTCAACGGAGTTACCATTGTGTGGCGCCCATGTTGATCAGGATATTGCAGCCTATGTTCGACAAAGAATTCACCACTCGGAAGAAATGAAGGAGTGGACAGGGGAAGATAGAGCTAAAGTGGAAACCCAGCTAATTGAAATGGCCGGTGGAATGTAGGTTATCCTTCCTTCTTTCCTTTATTGCTTACCAGAAGACAAGAAGCAGCTAACCTGGGATGATCAAGGTTTCGTTGGGTGCATTGCCAACTAGACTCTTTGGAAAAGTGCACTGATTCCGAACAAGTCGACGAGACCCTAGCCTCTTTGCCGTCGGACTTGCCATCGACGTATGAAAGAATCCTCATGAATATTGATGCCAAGTCGGCAGCGCGAGTTCGAGGCGTCCTAGTAGCATTGGCCTTTGCTCGAAGGCCTCTACAGGTCAGCGAAGTCATGAATATCATCAGCATATCGATCAAAGACTACCCTCGAGCAAAAAAGAGTAAAAATACAGTCTACTTGCATCAGCTCCTTTCTCTTTGCTCGAGCATAGTGTCGATTTCCACCAGCGGCGAAGGCGAAAAGAAGAAGCGAGAAATGCGGCTAGCGCATGCCTCGGTGAAGGACTATCTTGTCTCTGAACATCTGCGTAATGGGCCGGCATCTACATTCTACACAACACCTGGACAGGGACACCTTTTCATGGCCGCCAAAGGTGTTGCGTGTCTGTTGGATCAGAACGACGTCAGCCGCCTCGGGCCACACATTTTGGAAGAGGTTCCCTTCCTGCTGTACTCTGCTCTAAACTGGGTCCACCACGCGAGGGATGCGAATACAGAGTCCGACCGTGGCAGTCTTGACGACTTGATTTTCGCATTGTTGCATCACAAGGATGGAGCTTACATAAACTGGCACCGTGTGGCAGGCTGCCATGGGCCTGCAACACCAGTGGAGGGCTATGCGTGGGACATTCACATCAGAGACGGCAGTAAGCTTGTCGACGACGGTCGACCAGCCACCAAGGAACGACTGCTCAACGGACACTATATCGATCGGCCTCTCCACCACGCAATACAATGGAACCTGTGGCGCGTCGTCCAGCGTCTTCTAGATGCTGGCCATGATCCTAATGGACACAGTAAAGGGAGCCGCGTTCCTCTTCACTACGGAGTTCTTCATCGGGCTCTGGAGTCGATGGATCTAATACTAAACAATGGTGGGAATATTGACGCTTGCGACTTGTTTGGCGACACCCCAGCCATGTTTTGCGCTTACAAAGCTAAGGATCCGGTGACGATGGAGTGGCTGATTGACCGCGGCGCAAGTCTCTATCCCGTCAGCAGAAGATCCGGCAGTCTCTTGCAATGCGCAGCTATGGAGGGTGACCCAGACGTGTTGGAAGTGATATTGCGGAAGACGCCGCGTAACATACCGCCCGATACTGAGGCTGATCGCAGCTGTAACAAAGTCGCTGGCCTGGCCACACCACTTCAATGTGCAGCATATGCAGGTAACTTGGCATGCATCGAGCTTCTGTTAACATATGGTGCCGACATCAACTTTGGTAAAGGTAAAGTTGGAACACCTCTTCATGCTGCAGGTGCTTCAGGGAATTTGAGCGCATTTCAACTCTTGCTGCAGAGGGGTGCGAACCCGAACGTCGCTAGTGGGCAATATGGGAGCGTCCTTTGGGCTGCTGGATACGGCGGCGATCGTGAATGCGTTCGCATTTGCCTTGGACGGGGATTGTCTATTGATGGGTTGGCAACCATGTGCCTTGGTCCTGAGAAGGAGTGGCAGGATTGTCTTCCGGATGAACAAGACAAGCTGGTCTCCGAAATCATCAGAGTTGCAGGAGATCGCCACTGCCGGGACATCTTTGACGCTGCCCGGTCGGGTATAACTTCGCGAGTCACAGCGCATCTTCGTGGTGCCAAGGGTAACAAGACTAAACTGGAAAGCAGAGACAAGCTCTTTTCGCGGACGCCTCTGATGTGGGCGGCGGGCGAGGGTCACATCGAAACGGTGAAGCTCTTGGTAAAGGAGGGCGCAAAACATTGTCCGAGGGCTAGAGATACTCAGACGCCGCTCGAGCTTGCTTGCCTCGGGGGCCACTTAGGTATGGTAAAGTGTTTGTTGGCTATAGGTGCAATAGCCGATTTTCGACGGGCTGGCAGTTATCGAATCGCCGTTGTATGTGCTGCTATGAGCGGAAACATGGATTTGGTTAACTTCCTGAAGTCACTGGAAGAGGATCGAACCACGACGTTCGAGTTTGAGGGGCATGTTTATGAGTACGATGGCGATAAGCAGTATAAGCGTAAGCCGAGATCCCTCTGTTATGTGGAGAGTGAATTTCAGAGCGGTTGGAGAAGACGTCGGGGGTGTCTGAACCTCACATCGGTGCGATGAAACCGCAGCGTCTCCACATCATCGGCCGGTCAATTGTGGGTATTGCACGGAGATAGTCGGCTCTCGGCACCGGTCACGGGTTTGCGTGAACAAGCGGCGGAAAGAGAGCCGGCCCTTGTCTACCGAGTGTCCGTCTCTGTTCCGGACCTTGGATACAGTGTTGTGGGATCAAGATCCTAGCTTCGTACCCTGTCAAGTTCTCACTTATCACCGACCCCATATTCACCTGTGACTTGCAGGACGTTTGCTGCCAGAGAGCCGTGGTTTAATGGAATGGCTGGGGTAATTTCCCCGAGACAAGTGTGCGCAGCCACAGGAGAACTCAGAAGCGACAAAAGCATGCCATGGAGCATTCAAGGTTGGCCCTGAAAGAGTAAAAAGAGGTAAGCGGTCACTCTAAAGACCGACGACATCATGTTCTTCATCCCAGGTGATTCGTCGATTGAAGAGTGCAGCCGTCTAAAAACGGAACAGGGCAGCATCGTCCACTCGGCGTGGCACCCCGGAGAACCCAGTCCCAGCGATTCGCGAAACTTGGAGGTGAAAATACATCCCACTCATTCCGCCTGATTGGAGCTTCTCGGGATCCGAGGATGTATGAGTGCCGTAGATATCGGTGATGTGGGCAGACAAAGTTGACAATCGTGGAGGTTGGGCGACGTTTGGGCGCAGCCAGGTGAGAGTGCGAGTATCCGCAAAGTTGAAGGTTGAGTGGAACCCCCCAGCCACTGGAATTGTCGACACCCGACGGGGCCCACGGGGGGGCCTGAAGGCGCGAGAAGATGGGCGCTGCCCCGCCGAGCTGGACGACACCACAACAGCGCTGCACGTAATTAAATGTGGTGCGATTTAAGTGGCCGTTGGGGATTTGTTAGTGCATACGAAAGTACGGAGTACTCTCTGTGTTCGTTTCCCAGCCACTTTGAATCTTTACGAAAGTCAAGTTGTCAAACCCTGAAATGTCCGAGAGCCCAAATTCTTTCTCTCGCTCGGGTACATTGTCTGTTCCTCTTTTTGCTTTTGAGTTCGGATAGTATCATCCTTTTCCCTTCTCCCGTTAGCTTCCGCGCCTGGCGAGATCTTGCAACCACGCTTCTTTTTCTTCTGTGTGTTGGCATCGTCTGAGTTGAGACACAGGCACCAGACACAGACATACAGAGAGAGACAAGACAAGCCCCTCAATCCAACGGTTCTCAACGGTCACTCCCGGCCTATCTTACCTAGTCCATCTTGAGTTGTCTTTTTAGGATCAATCTCACTTCACGTCAAACCTGTCAAAACACTAGAAACAAACGTCAACTCTATCCGCACCTCACCAACATCACCACCACCAAATTCACAACCATTCTGCCCCAACACCACCACCACCCCGCCGCCGTCGCGAGAGACATCGATCCCGTCTCGTTTGCCATCATGGCCATGGGACTCCAGCAGCAGCAACACACCCAGGGCTCGCCGCCGATCCACTTCCCCGGCGACTTTGTCGAGTACGGCCAGCAGTACGACAACAACAGCGGCCACCACAGCGACCCGTCCTCCTCTCAACAGCGTCAATCCCGCGGCGAGGGCGGCAGGAACGGCCGGTATCGAAGACCGCGTTCCCCTTCCCTCGACGACGATTCTCGCTTCACTACCGGGCCCAGCGGCGGTGAGGATCCGCGGGCTAGCTCTGACGCTGCGCTGCATGATGCCGTGCTCGCGCAGGCGCCCCATCAACAGGTGAGTTTACAGACGTAAAGTTCAATTAGGGGAATTTTTGAGATGAGGGATCGATCGGAGAGTGAGAGTAGTAGAAGAAAAAAAAGCAATGGCTCGGCGAAACAGGCACCAGCCACGCTCAATTCCAATACACCTCAACCACCTACCCCCTTATCTCTCTCTCACCCCAGCACTCAAGAACTCACTTCACCCAACTCACCTCACTTCACTTCATCTCACTCACTCACTCCCCAAACTCACAAACTGCAACTCATCTCACTCAAGGGCGGCTTTTGAGACCGCCCTCCCCCCAACACCCAACACCCTACACACAAAATCACATAACACAACGCACAAACACACACGCACATACACAACCCGCATCGTCACCGAAAAAACCATCTGACCGCAATGCAGCAGCGCGTAATCCCAACAAACGGCCGCAACGGAGGCCAACCCCGCGCCGCAGGCCCTCGCGCACCCCCCGCCGCCGCAAACGCATCCCAGAACCGCCGCTCCCAGCCCCCGCCAGTCAACTCCCAGCTGCCGCCCTACATGGGCGAGAACCCCGACGAATGGAGCCCGTCCAAGGACGCCGCAGGAGCGGGCGGCTATTCCCGCCGCCGCACAGAGCGCCACGCCCGCCGGCAATCCTCCACCGGCAGCCGCGCCCCGGGAGCCCCGGACCCGCCCCAAATGAGCGGCGGCGCGTCCCCGCGCGGCCCGCCCGAAAGCCAGCACTCTCCCAGAGATAGACTCCCGTCCCAGCAGCTACAGCAGCAACAGCGAGAGCAGCACATCCCCAACCCGGCAGGCGGTCTTCGCCCTCCTTCCCCGCCAGCCGTGAACGAGAGCACCCTCAGCGACATCAGCCGCGTCAACAGCCCCAGCATCTCCAAATCCGTCCTCGAGCCCCTCCAGCGCAAGATGCTCGAGTACCACCGCCTCATGGACGAAGCTCAGGGTCAGATGGCGCAGTACGACGAGGAGCTTCGCCTCCTGCAGGAGCGCCGCCGTCTAGCCGAGCAGAGATTCGTCGATGCAAAGACTAAGCACGATGAGTACGAGAGGCAGCACCTCGATGTCGAGCGTGCGTTGCGCGGTGATTATGCGCCGCCTCAGCAGGTGCAGCAGCAGCAGATGATGCAGCAGCAGCAAAGTCAGCAGCAGATGTATCAGAATAGTCCGCCCAGGACGGTGCCGAGACCGGCGTCGAGTATTATGAGCTATGATGATCGGCCGATGAGCGGGCACAGCTCGGGCCCAAAAAAGGGGAAGTTGAGGTTCAGTTTGTTTGGGAGATAGATGTGTTTGGGAGGCTGGGGACGATAGATTGTGTGTTGTTTGGGTGGATAGAGCGGCTTTAGAGAGAGGCCCTTTTTGCTCGCAACTTCTTTCGTGTTAATATTCTTATGGATGGGGGGGTTTTCTGGGATGGAGAACAAAGGGGCTGTCATGTTTGGATGATGGCATCGATGTAATGACGGGAGCAACGTACAATATGGTATATCAAAGATTGGTTTCATGGCAAATATGGTTTCATTGTTCATTGTGTATTTGTTTCTCGGAAGCTGATGCTGTTGGCGTTGTCATTGCATCACTTCACTCGAAACTCACCCCAATTTGTCCTTTAGTTGGTTACTGGAAAAGCAAGAACCAGAAACTTGAGTTTATTGGTTGATCGAGATATAGTGAGTCGAGGGCTGGCTATCTCCTAGACAAACCAAATGACAATCATGCAAGTCTGCTATAGATGAGTTGTTGTTAAAACATGCCATGTACGCAGTCATCCCAGACTCCCAGCTCAAAGCTCCCAATGCAACTTGTTTGGGTGAGAATATCGCAGACCTCACAAGGCATTTCGCTGCCATGCCAGTAGCTTATATTCCATTGCTGCAAACACCTTATTCTGCTGTTACAGTAGCTTCTGTTCTTAGACAACTCTGGTCATCAGTCTCTCGACAAGAACAGCCAAGTATATATTGAGCCACAATATTTCTCCCATGTGCTCTTAACCTCACATTCTCATACTCTCAAGCTTCCAGGTCATAGACATTCAAGGTCATCAAGCTTTTGGGAACCCAGATAGGGGCACCTACAAACTACCCCTGAGATCGTCTCTCATCCATAGCTGCTTCTATCCCCCAGTCATCTCTACCCGCGCGGATTGAGACGTCCAAATAAGAAATTCTCATGCATACATCATTGGCGTTTTGACTTGGACGTCACCTTTCTGGATTCCTTTAGGTGGAAAGTTTATCCGAGCCAGAGGGCATCGGATGAATATTCAGGTCAACATGTCTGCTCCCGCGCCTCCAACTCGAATATCCAATCAGATGCCCCGCTTTCCGTTTGCAAATGCTTCCTTCCTTCTTTCACTCGCCGCACTACGAATTTTCTGACCGCTACATCCTTTTTTTTGGTCTCCCACTTGTGTCGCGAGTGAAATATCATGAACCGCGCCGCGTCGCTCTCACCCTCGTTACTCGAACTCATCGCGACATGGCCTTCTCGTTACTCGGTCCCATGGATCAAATGGCAGCAATCATGGATCAACTTAAGGAACCGGACAAAAATCACATTTGCTCAGTCCTCCCGACCAAGAAGTTTCCCAACAGCCTTCTGACGCAGACTCATCGTGAGCTAGCCCGACTGTACGAGGCTCATGGTGAGACCGTGGTCGCCTACTGGAAGGGACTTGACCGACCGGGACGAGAGGTCGTGTTGAGGAACAGCTCCATGTGCCCCGTTCTGAGATCCGTCCAATCCCCTGGCGCCGGATTTTCTCATTTTCTCGGACCTGAGTGGAATCATGAAGACATCACCAATTCAGACAACAATGTCTTCCTCGACGTTCTTGAACATCGCGCCACACAATCTCTCACCCGCCAATTCACCATTGGCCCAAATGGCACACAAGGCGACTGCGTCTTCACCTGCGCAAGATTCGCTGAACATCTCATCCCGTGTCTTGAACACTTTGACGGCGACGTCATGGTATTTGAGGACTGTGAAGAGTACCCTCGCACTGCCGACATCGTTGCCTACTGGGAAGCCATAGCCGGCGTCAGAACGGATCGCCATCTGTGGGTACCCGGTCCTGTTGGTGAGCTGATTGTCGCGAGACAGATGTTCTGGGTAGAGATTCTTCATCGAGCGCTCGTCACCATCCTCACAGTCCTGGCCACCGATCGCAAACACCCAAACTGCACATGTCACGAACACGACATAGGAGAGGTTCATGGGAACGAGGTTCTTCCTCAGCTCACACTCACTAGTGACTCCGGCCTCCGGCCCTTCATCAACTTCATCAAAGCTGAGGAGGATGAGACAATTCTCTGGTCGCAGAAACTTCTGACAAAGCCTGATATTCTCCTGATGGAGGCTACGAACTAGTGGCTCAGCCTCCCAGAGAGAGTCCCAGACGCCAGCGGACACATACTCAGCGTGGGAGACCTTGACAGATACGTCGGGGCCTGCATCTTCGATCCCTACTGCGCTGCTGAGAAGGATTCCAACACCTCTTACTACATTCGCGTCCTTCTGTGTTCAATCCACATAATGGACAACTCGCGAAAGACGGCCAAACGACGCGACTTCCTGCTGCAGGAGCTATCAAACGTCCTTCACCTCAAGTTCCTGAAGTTGCTGGAGTGCGTCAAACGATGGCTCCAGTGCGGCAAAGCAGAAAAGTACTTCAAGCGTGTCCCAAACACTTACGATCACTTGGGCAGCGAAGTTGTAGTCGTCAAGGATCGAGTAATTGACAGCAAGAATCGCAAGATATACTACGGTATGCAGCTTTGCAAGCCAGGATTGACTCATAGACACGCCGGCTTCTGGCTCAGGAAGCTGGCCCCATACTACAAGAACAAAGTCCCAGGAGTTGCGACCATGGTCCCAGAGGGCGTTGAGTTCTCAGAGTTCCACACGAGCATCAACTTCTCTAACCTCAATCTGCTCGTGAGCTTCATCTCTGATCTGGACAAACAACTGTGCCTCCCGCCCGTGAGCGATACGAAAGGGCAGCTGTACATTTCACGCGTCAAGGAGCTGGAGGTCGAGCTCGCCACCGTCAAGAGGAACCTGGACCTCCGCAGGATCGCGCCCGACATTGACCGGCTAGCTGAGCCTCTCGTCACTTCCGCGGCAAAGGACAAGGTCGCCAATGCGATTGAGGAGAAGCTGGGCACCTCTCTTGCAAACCGCTACTGGAACCTGGTACAGAGCTGTGTCGACAACTTTCCGGATCTCGGACACTACGAGAACAGCAGAGTCAACTTTGACGTCTGCTTCCCGAAGTCGTGTCAATGTGAGTCGGAGAAGTCGGCTGAGCCTGCCAAGAAGAAGAAGAGAAAGCCGAAAAAGAAGAAGCCGGAGAAAGTCGTAGAGGAGTCTGATGTCCTGCCGGAGCTTGAGGAGGGTCACGATGCCTGGGTCAACGATCTGAATACCCCGTGGCTGTCAAAGCCTGATGGGGATTCTTCGTGGGATGAGCTCGCGACTTCCGTGACCGGATCGCTCTCCTTGAATGAGCCTGAGCTCGATCTTCCCGGCGACGATGTCTCCTTCAACGCTTCGCAGGACCCGGGCGACTATGAGTCTGTACTTGCTGACGCTGAGCCGCAGGCTTCTGATCCCTGGGCCAACTACCCCGAGGCCTCAGGCAGGGTTTCTGGTGCTGTAACTACGCCAACCGAGGCTAGCTTCGGCAAATCTCTTCACGAAGATGATCAAGAGCATGAGGAGCATAATGGAGATGATGACGAGCAGTATGAGAACCAGCGTCCTGACGAGGACGAACAGGAGATCGTGGAAGGCCCCCGCAACCAAGACGCCAGCCTCCTCGACAAACCCGACACAGAAGACGGACCCTCGACTCCTCCCCAAGAAGTCATCTACGTCAGCTCCCGGACAGCAACCGTCATGGCAACAATGTTCGATAAGTCCGTCCACCAGGGATCCCTCACCTGGCCCGAGTTCATAGCCGCCATGGTTGAAGTAGGCTTCACCGCCGACAAGAAAAAGGGCTCCGCAATCGCCTTCGTACCCTTGCCGCGGGAAGACGGCACTTCGAGATGGAAGCAGTCGATTCAGTTCCACATCACGCACGGCAGCGCGTCGTCGAGGGTCGAGGGGTACCGGTCGCGTAAGATGGCCCATCGGTTGACGAAGGCTTTTGGATGGAATGCGAAGACGTTCCAGATTGCTTGATTACTGGTTGGCATTGGCGGGATTTGTGCCACCGGGAGTCAAATTTTGCAGTAGCTAATATCTTTGGCTTTTGCTGTATTTGGGGACGACTTCTGAAGATTGCGAAGACGTGGCGTATGTGAGGCACAGAGACACGGTGGCTTGCTTCTGTTCTTGGATGCTGGCAGGAACACGATATCGCGACTTTTGCTTCATTTGCACATGGTCATGATTTTGTTTCTCCGGTATCCTTGGTTCGTTGATAGTTGCTGAGCATTGATGGCTCTTGATTGTTTTGGACTTTGTTTTGTTAGTTGCTTTCTGCATTGACACTTCTCTTCTCTTCTCTTCAATATGACAATCGTCCCTTTTTCCATTGCTTTCAAGATTTCTTCCAATTTTATTTCCTCCAATTTGACCTAAGTTCTACACGCTTGTATTCATTGCATTCAAAATGTGTTATTCCATACTATCATGACACGACTAGAACTTTTGGAATAGGGGCGTTCATCAATCCCCGAAACCGAACTACACCGCCGGTAAAATCTTCTTCCCCCGGGATAGCTGTTCGAACTCTCCCTCTGGCGTGTATGAGACGCTCAAGGGAATAACTCAATGTTTTTGAGAGAACTTGGCCGCCTCTCGAGTAACCAACAGGGTTCGAGGAGTCAGTTATGTCGAGAACCGGATCTCGTAATTACGTTGGATGTTCTCTCAAAAACTATGCTTCCTTGTTGAGAATACCCATAATAAGTTCACTGCAATCACCGTAGATTGAATCTCGGGGCTTTGTAGACCAGGTGCAGAGAATCGGACATGGTCATGGGAGGCAGGAGCCAACGCATGCCCAACAAAGAGTCTTGATCATACTCGAGCTTGGGGACGCCATGATCCCAATTCCGCAGGCCTTGTCGCATCGCTGCAATCATACAAGTCGTACGAGGACTTTATAGGTCAAGCAACAACCGCAGATGGCCATCTAGACAGCGACCTGATCGCTCCCGAAACTGAGGTCACCGCGGCCAACTCTCACGAAGCAATTGAGCAGTTGTCTAGCCTCCCCGCCGATAGTGTTCAACCCAACTAAAGAATAGAGGAGAGCCACAGAGTAGACTATCTTATATCAAAAGCCAGAGTAGTCTTCCGTCAAGCTATAGTCTTTTCCATCTTACTTACCCTCTCTCTTACTTTCCAAAACCGGGCCCACGGCGACGTCCGGGTGCGGGCGGTGGGGCAGCTTGACCACCTACTGTTCGCTGGCTAGATACGAAATTCGACAGATGAAGGTTCTTCGGTTCTTTCATCAAGTGAATCAGCCCACAAACCCTGGCGACCGTGCTCCCTGTTGAGCTCTACTTCCCAGCTCACGATTGCATATAAGTCGATCACCTTCAATGACTGGAGGTTACGCAACGATTTGAGCGCTTTACTGACCCCGATATCAAGTGTTTTCTCAAAATGATCACAGGAAGCTGCCGAACTTGCCAGAAGCGACGGGCCCACGCTCAGCAAATCGGCCAGTATGTCTGAGCTCCGAAATCCCCAGCAAGTACTGGTCGTGTAGTGGTAGAGAACTAATCAGCTTGAGGCGGATTGCAGCCTCATGGATATCGAGACGTTTTTTGTGGTTCTCCCTAAGAAGACGTGCTTTTCCTCCGCTATATTTCTCACATGTTGAGTTATTAGACCTTTCCATGAATACTTGCAGCACCTGGCTTGCGATTCAGAGAAGCTACAGAAAAAGATAGGCTGTCTCCGAGGCAAAGAAAGGGGGCTCGTCGAAGTACCGGAGATGATGTAATAGAAACTAATCGACCTGTGCGGTTGACCCCGGGCCTCTCTGCTGTGTACGCAAGCATTACCCCTCCGGGGCTTTGATTTCCGTTGGTACCTCGATGTTGAGTATCAGGAGAAGTTCGAGATCTTCGTCGATATTGCGAATAGTTCAATCACTTCTATTGATAAAGTCGATCACGAATTTACTTGTCGAATGTCGGCATTTTAGCACTAAAACAAAGTTGTCGTATCAGCCCTGGTGTGGCTGCGCACATAGAGGATAGCGTGTCTCTCCCCTGTCGAGGAGATCTCACTTTTCTTGGCTCGTATCATCTGCAGAGAGGGATACTTCAGAGCTGTGTTTGTTCAGTCTCGAGAACGCGTCGTACGAGACCGCCCGCAAAAGTCTGCTCGTGGCAACACTCGCCGAAACTACACCCGCCTTCTACACTATCAGGGGAGTTTGGCGTTTTGGTTCTTTTTGACTCTTGCGGCAGTTCCGTTGCGGCCCAGATGCTCAAGCAAGAGGCGTGAAGCTATATTGGATCAGACATTAATCTTGCTAGTTAAACGCACCGGGGACTATTGTCATCTTCGAGACAGGCGGCTTCGGCGAATTTGCCGTGCTGCTGAAAATTGTATCTGGCAGGCTCGTACCGCGTACGACTTTACTTACCTACCTGCTCGCTACCCGATACAAGAGACAGAGCATGCAACTCCAGAATCTTTGCTGGAACACCTGCGCTGGTACACGACACTTTGAGCCGGTCCTACGACTACGCAGAAGTTTCCAGGACATCGTCCCTCTTCCATCAGCGTCAATTCGGCGGCTTCGGGCTTTCGGAACTTGAGGGAGATAGTTTGTGGATAACCTTACTCAATCAGTCAGAAGGAGCTTCAAGACTAGGAGTAACAAGCCTAGGAAAAGACATGCTCTTGTTGATAGAATTGGATGGATGAGCGGGTAACGAGGGCCATCGACGAAAATCACGCTTTGGCGATGTCACAGGGAAAGCTTGCCCATGAGTAGCTACTCATTTCAACTTAAGGAAAGGGGTTATGAAAGGAGTGTTATGATACGTGGTGACGTTTTCGGGGACATTGTTGGTCCGATGTTCAGGACCAATTGCCGGTGAATAAGCCCAATTAGATCTGAAAGAGCGTCTTTAGTGAAGAATTCATGATCCTTGCAAGTACTGCCAGGCGAGAAGACTAGGCTTTTCATGGAATATGATGTCATATTAGCTCAAGCCTAAATGCAGTGGATAGCAGCGCCAAGACTAGTAAAGAGTGTTTCCATGTTAGTTTCAAAGTAGCATCGGCCTCGGGCGATATGGCAAGGCCGTCACGACTCTCATTGCCTTCAACTCCATGATAATAGCGCGGTGTTGAATCGAACATAAATAGAAGTAAATCACCACTCCGACTGTTGACCTATGGTTGCTGTCTTTTCAACATTGAACATATTGCAGTTATTTTCGGCCAACATGATATTTCGGAGTCACATTTTCACCGCTACAATCGCGCTTCTGTCCGCTGTCAGCAGCATTCAAGCCGCCTGTACATCATAAGCCCCCGGTACAGAAGGATACAACGGCGGAAAGTGCAAGCCCGACAAAGTTCTTTGCGGCAGCGCAGGCTCTACCATTACATGTTGTGACACTACGGCCTGTTCTTGAAAGTGTTTTTATTCCTTGAGAAAAGCTCTCAGAGCTATAATTGACATCTCCACTGCAGTCTATTTGGTTTCGTGAATGAGCACGGCGTATGGCTGTGGACGAGGCCAATCCTCTAACCCGTTGCATCATCAGCCTCTCGTAACATCCAGAAACTTGCCTCTACTTTGAGGCCCGAGACAGAGGAGACTATTCTGGGGTGGAATCATGTCACCGTTTAGGTGTGAAGTATGAACTTTAAACCTTCCAATGAAGTGCAGAGGGAAGGAGGGGGATGGTTCAGCACACCTAGTGTGTGCTCAAGGTGCCCAAAGTGACCAAGGCGAAGCTGTGTTAACCACGACATTGACATCCATCAACTCAATGTACCGATTACGTACTGAAAATTAGGATGGGAAAATCCCACTGACAACGCGATCGGCTGTTTTTGAATCAGAAGATCTGCTGTAGGTACTAGGAGAATTCCGTCACTTCGAGACCGCGCGAGCCTTGACTTAATCGTATCGTGACCCATTGACTACATAACATGAGTACCATTGCGACCAGCCTTTGACCTCAATGGCTGACGTGGCAATGCTAGCTCGTCCACGAAAATAGGCTGTGTGATGATTTTTGCATTTCAAGAGTTCCGACAAACCCTTACCTACACGTATGTTACCTTAGTTTTCGGTTGGCCTAGACATCAAGGCTTAAGATCAATGTCTGGGATACAGACTGGACTGAAAAGATGGCGATAGACCCTTGTACCTTGCCTTCTCCATGTTGCCAATGCAGTGGCACCAGTGCGTAGTTGAGTTGCATATGTAAGCGGTTAACCGTATCTTGAAGAGTCCCGCTGACCTCGGTAACGCCGATGTATCGCCAGTGAACAAGGACCAGAATACGAACTCAATGTTGACAACCTTTAAGAGACAGAACGTACAGTGTCGCACATAAACGCTTGATCACAGCGGCGATGTCAGGATGATTTAGAGAAAACAGGTTTGTGGTAGAGCAGTGTACACCCTAAACTGTCGAGATGGTACCATACATCTGATGAATAGACTATCCGTGTCTTGCGCCCGAAGGGTACGCCGACCTTAGTCTAGAGAATTTGCGTGGGAATTGGCCTGGTGATCGCAAACAACCAAATCCACATTCACCAGTATCTCTCGCCCACACCCCTAAGCACAACCCAAATTCGTTTCCGTATCTTGTCGTACCGTAATTGCGTGATAGTGGTCGTTCCTATCCTCCACTGGTGCATAGAGCCGTTGGTTATTTAAATCGACTGGATAACGATGCGAAAACTCTCGCCGATACGGCTGACTTGCACAGACTTTGAGCTCGTTCCGGCCGACAGAGCCTCACTTGCGATGATGCCGTCGCCGGCGTAGACGGTGTATTTGAAGGTGAGAGTGCTGAACGGGGCGCTGTGGTAGAAGGTGATCTTGAACTGGTCGTTGCCGAGGGGCTCTGCCTTGTACTGAAAGCTAGTGCCACCGCCAATGACAGACGTTGTAGGCCAAGGGACGACTCTCTCAAAATTCTCCCTCGCCATCAAGACTGGGGCGATACCTGCATCTTCGA